CAGCAACCAGCTGGAATAAAAGAAGGGAAACAGTTGGCATTCAATACCTTTGGCTGCTCCAAGATGACCACAGCAGAGCGGAACACCATAGATATGTAGACTGACTTGTCAGCTAGGCTTGTTTTCTGAACTTCAGGTGTTTGACATTCATCCATTTGCACTGATGGGGGAGGGCCAGAGAACACAGTGCATACTGATGGCAAGAATAATGTTGGGGTGTATACTTAAAAGACTGTAGCATGAGTTGATTAACTGCTTCAGTGAAGTATTTTAGAGGCTGGATGATCTTCAACTGTAGCTTATCTACTGATGAGATGGTTTGTTTCAGACACAAGCAATGATTTCTTCCTGCTAGAAATTATGGAACTTTCCCAGACTCATCATGGCTCATAATCCACACCCCGAAAGGTGGGTCAGAATTACTATTTCCTGTAATGTACTAGCTCGGGGTAGTTGTGTGGAAACTTACGTGACGATTACTGCAGCATGTCTGCTCCCCTTTCCACTTAATCAGTTCAATGGACTTGAAATACTGTACACTGTACACTAAATCCAAACTTCTGCACTTGGATTTACCAGCCATAGCATGTATGTGGTGAAATAATGCCCAAGGTATATTTGAGCAAGTAATTGTATCTACCAATCCCTGAGCAAGTCCATTCAGCTATTACAAACTATCAAAATTAGGTATCCCCAAATAAGACTGGTTGTGGTTTCATTGCATCACATCTCATGATATCATGGTAGCCTTAGCTCACACAAACAGCAGACGAGTGTGTCTGTCTGTACTGTACCACTTCAGATTGCAGGACGGAACTCATCTGAAGTGGTGTTCCACCATGTACTTGCATACAGACATCAGGGGAGCCCTGTTGGTAGACCTCCTGGTGGCCCTTGGGGTTTGACCACTGTGTGACACAGATGGAATGAAGCTGATGTGATAGAATAAGAGCATAAGACATAAGAGAAGCCATACTGGATCCAGCCAATGGCCTATCCAACATGGCTTCTCTTATGTTCTTATTCTATCAGTCAGTCTCATTCCATCTGAAGTACTACAAGTAAGACACAGACTTGCTTTCTCATCTTCTGTTTGTGAAAATGAGTCTGCATTAACAGTATATGGTGGAAAAGTTCAGCCATTACTGGAACCTAGGAGCTCCGGTTTAATGGGATGTTAGCAGTTTGAGAGTAAATTGGACAGAGTATCCTTTTCCCCAGTTTTACCAGTTTCACTGAAGATCCCACACTGGTTGCTTATTTTTTACTCTCATTGCCTTTTTTTTTTTAAACTGTGCAGTGAATTACCTGAAGAATACTGTTCTCAATGAAATCTCATCACCAAAGGTAGTTTTAAATCACTCAGTTGCATTACAAACGATGTTCTCAGCACACAAATACTATATAAGCCTTTCTTTTATTATTGTGACTGAGCAAGTATTGGGATAGCAATGAGCTTTTAAAATACTTGCATTCCGTCCTAAGCATTAAACGTGCACATTTTTATAGTACATTAAATAATGCCAGTTAAATGTTACTCTGACGACATAGTGAAGCCCAAATATCTAAAGTTCTGTAGTATCTACCTCATTGTAGAGCTGATCAATTTGTTGATAGTAGCCACTGTAGTCCCTTGGTGAGCTAGGTTGTCCGTGCTTCTGGTACCACTCTCGGATTAAGATCTCCAGCTGATTGTTTTCTTCTTCCAGGCCTTTTACCTTGTCCATGTAAGAAGCCAGGCGGTCATTAAGGTTCTGCATGGTGGACTTTTCATTGTTGGAGAGAAGGCCACTGTCACCGAAGCCACCTCCACCAAAACTACCACTACTGAATCCTCCACCACCCATGCTACCACCACCAAAGCCACCGCCAAGTCCACCACCAAGTCCACCACCACCCATGCCATAACCACCACCACCACCACCATAGCCAAGTCCACCACCATAACCTAGTCCCCCACCATAGCCAGCCCCGCCACCATAGGTGCTTCCGCCACCATAGCTGCCACCATAGGAGATTCTCCCTCTGCTGATTCTTCCACAGCTGCCACTGCTGAATCCACCCCCTCCACCATAAGTCCTGGAACCTCCACCAAAGCTTCTTCCAGAATATCCTCTTGAGGATCCTGAGGATGAACCTCTAATTTTGATACTTCCACCACCTCCACTGCTGATGCCTCCACCACCAATACTTCCGCCGCTCATGCCTCCACCACCACCAATACAACTTCCGCCACTCACAGCACCACCACCACCACCACCACCACTACTTATGCTAACTCTGCCACCACTGCCCTTTGAGGATCCTTTGACACCGTAACTCATAATGAAAGATGTTTAGAATCCAAAACCCACAAAAGCCCCAGTTTAGCGGTACAGCCTGGAATTTGGGATCAGACTGCAAATGCTTTCTCCCAGCTGATCCTTATTTATACCTTTCATCATGGGAGTTGCCACTAAGGGTGTTCCTGGTCCTTCCCAAGGCGTTTGCCAATCCTATTGTTTATGCCAAAATGATTTGCCAAAGGGGTTTTTTCCTATGTCTTCAAAGGTAATCAAGTACATACCTGGGTTTTGTCACTCTCAAGGTGTTTTAGTTCAGATAATGCATTGCTGTGATATACAGGTGCATCTTCACTTTTCCCCCCCTTTTCCTTTCATCTTGCACACTCAAGTTGTAACCTATTCAATTTCCAGCATTTCAGTGCACTATTCATAATGCTTAGGTAGGAAAGAAAAATACACCACAAACTACAAATGAAAGGAGAAAATAAGGTAAGAAGTTCTTCTGAAAGAACTCAATTGTGAACTTGTGGATCTCCTGACAAAAATATGTAATCTCTCCTTAAAATCAGCCTCCATTCCTGAGGACTGGAAGGTAGCTAATGTCACTCCCATCTTTAAAAAGGGTTCCAGAAGAGATCCGGGAAATTACAGGCCAGTCAGTCTGACGTCGATACCGGGTAAATTGGTGGAAACCATTATTAAGGAAAGAATTAGTAGGCACATAGATGAACAAAACCTATTGAGGCAGACTCAACATGGGTTCTGTAAGGGAAGATCTTGTCTCACTAACCTATTAGTGTTCTTTGAGGGGGTGAACAAACATGTGGACAAGGGGGATCCAATAGATATTATTGCCTGATCCAACATTGGCATCTCTTAGGTACCCCCCCCCCCGAAAAAAAAGCAAAATGAATGAATGCTCATTGGAAAGTTCATGGGCAATTTAAAATGAATGGTTTTTTAATCATTTCATACTGCTAGAAAGGACAACAACAAAATGATACATCGTCTACCTCATCAGTTTCATGACCCCCCCCCCAGATAATTTTTTCTTTGCGTGTTTTGTATGCACCTTGGAAGAAGGCCCTTGCAACCAACTTTCCACTCCAAAATTCAAAACCATCTTCTTAAAAAATCTACAACCCAGGAAAGAGCATATGACAATTAATTAAAGGGGGGGGTCTTATGAAAAGAAGTATGGAGTGACAGGCTGCTCTTCTTGCCTCAAGCGTCTGATGTTCTTGCCTCAAGCTTCTTGCCTCAAGCTTCTAATGTTCACGGATTAATTGTGGAATGACGTGACCTTGTGGCATATTTTCAGGCTCCACAAGGAAGCTTGCTGGCCCAAGAGAAACAGCCCAACAGTTGGTTAAGATGTACAATTAGGCATATTGCATACAGGGTTTATGAAAATGTGACTAAGCATGGAACAGCAAGTGTAAAGCAGGGAAAGAATGTGTTTTTAATTAACAAAGGAACTTGGTGGTTTGTTTGTGTTGTTTGTTAATGCATAGAAAATTAGAAAAAAAATATTGTGAAGTGAGAATCATATTTGGCCTTTTATGATGCAAAATCTAGTTCAGGCGAGTTCTAATAGAACATACAAGGGACTCTTCTGAATACAAGGCATGCTTTTTCAATTAAACAGGACAATGTTCTAGAAAATGTACATTCCACTGATCTGCTACCGTTATCTGTACTGACCGAAACGAAGCAGGTAGCTCCTCAGTCCTGTTCCTTCTCTGTGGTAGGGTATGAAGCAAACTTCACCAGGAGGTTCCTCTGATGCCATCTCTGCTGACTAAGACAAATGAAGGTTCTTTTTGTTTCAGTGGGCTTTTTCTTAGGTTCTTTGCTCTACATCTGTGTTCAATCAGAACATTCTTCACTGCTATATTGTCTGCTTTGGGATCTGATCTTTTAACCACTGAAGCATTTTTACTGAGTTTTTTTGTGATTGCTGCACATGCTGTGGACTTGTGACATGATTGTTATTACACTGCTGTTTTTTTAAGTTAATGCATGATGCAAATGAATATTTATAGTATCATTTTGTTATATTTTTATTTTCTGATTGTTATCTGACTTGGATATTTTTGTTGGACAGAGCTTTAAAAGTCTCTAAATAAACAAAACTCTATTCCTAAAAAACTGCTGCCAATGCAGTGATGACACTGATAATCAGGACATCCCTAGTTGACGTTCACCGTAGCCTAGTACTAATGGAGGTCACGGAATTAGGGCCTGGATTGAGACTTTAGTGGCTAGTCCAGAACATTCCGAGTCTTATACAAGTACACTGTTTTGAGTATTGGGTTGAAATGTTCTGTGCTGAATATTGAAATGCTATAAAGTGTTTTCTGTCTTAAGAGTGTATAATGGAATAAATTGAACTTTATTTAAAAACCATTGTCTCTATACTAGATTCAGTCCCTTGCCACTCTCCACCCAACCAATAAAAGGGGAATTGAGGGGGGTCCCCAGGAAAAAGACCTGGTCCCCAGAATCCCTCAACAATGGACACAATAGATAACCAAAAAGAACCATCTGCTCTAGTGCCAAAAGCTTGTCAACTCGAACACCTGCTGCAGTTTGTAATTTGCTTTTTAAAAAAACATGTTTTTAAATTATTCCTAATTTATACAGCACTTTTAATAAGCATAATGGAGGGCAGTGGCATCAAGTCTTACAAGCTTTAGTTTGATTAATTTCCAGTAGTCTTAGGACATTGTCCCCATTTAATACGTGAGAGGTGTAGAACATGCATAGTCCAAAGTTCGATCTCTTAGCCCCAAGTTCAAATTTTATCACACTTATTATTAATGTTATTATAATTACCATCATCATTATTAAAAACATTTCTATGCTACCTTTCTACCCAGCTCGGAGTTCCCAAGACAGCAAACATTTCAAACACAAGGAGAGCAATCAGGCTCCTAGTCAGGATTTTTTTTTGGGGGGGGGGCATTTAATTTTTTAAGGGGGGCAGTTAAATTACACTTAATTAAATTAATCTGAATGGCTGTCTTTAAAGAGGGAGGCTCCAAGCCTGTTTCTAGCCCTTCCTTTCAAGACTATCTGTGGGGCAGTGCTTTTAATTAAGGGGGCAGGGCCCCCAAATGTCCCACTGTAGCCATGGGCCTGAGAGCAATCCTTAGTCACTGCAGTCTAAGTCCCTTGTTTTCAGTGGGCAAAGAAGGCTGGAGTAAATTTATACAGGACTGTGTTGTAAAACATTGTTTAAAATACAAGTACATATAAAATATATTTAAAACACTTAAATATACAGTTAAATAAAACACATAGACACATAGGCACATCAACACATAGGCACACAAGCAGGGAGGAGGACAAATAAGAGTTGGTGAGAGAATGCTAGACTAAACCTGCAGGTGGAAAACAATGATAGAGGGAAATAGATGAATCTCACTGGGGAGGGAGGTCCAAATTTGATGCCATGACCAAGAAGGGTCTTTCTCAGGTCACCACCCATCTAGCCTCAGGTAGTGGGGGCACCTGAATCAGGGCCTCCAAAGATGACGGGAGTGGATGGGTAGGTTCATATGAGGGTAGGAGGCCCTTCAGGTATGCTCGCCCTAAGCCGTATAGAGCTTTAAAGGTCAATGCCAGCATCTTGAAATGGACCCAACAGCAAACTGAGACCCAGTGCAGATAGGACTGGAGAGATACGTTCCCTACAACCCACTGCAGTCAGAGTTTTGGCTGCAGCATTCTCTATCAACTCTAGCCTCCAGACAGTCCTCAAGGGCAGCCCCAAGTAACATGCATCACAATAATCTATCCTAAATGTTACCAGGGCATGCGCCACAGTGGCAGGATCTTTCCTGCTCCAAAAGGGCCACAGCTGGTTTAGCAGCTGAAGCTGATGAAAGGCAGTCCTGTCTGCCAGCGTTTATTTAACAGGAGCCTGGGTCCAACAGTACCCCCAAGCTATGAAACTGTTCCTTTAGGAAGAGTGCAACTCCATCCAGAACAGGAGATCATAGAATCATAGAATCACAGAGTTGTAAGGGGTCATAAAGGACCATCTAGTCTGATCCCCTGCTCAATGCAGGATCAGCCTACAGCACCCCTGACCAGTGTTTGTCCAGCCACTGCTTAAACACTGCTGGTGAGGGCAAGCTCACCACCTACATAGGCAGCTGATTCCACTGTTGACACAACTCTTACTGTAAAAAATCCCTGTTCTAGGTCAGACCTTCCCCCTAATAGTAGTACCGTCATTTTGTCCAGATTAAGTTTCAGCTTGTTAGCCCTCATCCATCCTGCCTGTAGGCACTTGTTCATAGTTTTCATTGCCTCCCTGACTTTCTTATATGATTGTTGTTTCAGGGTAACAAAACAATAAATCAGATGTGCAAAATTAAAATGATGAGATAAATAATCAGTTCTCTTTTTCTAAATGAACCAAGAAAAAAATAAATGGAATGGGGTATAGTGTATTTCAAAATGAGACACACTGGTGTTCTAGAAAGACAGGAGATGTGGAACATCACTGTACACTGGTAATAAATATCCTTGCAGAGTATTGTTGTTCAGTCGCACAGTCGAGTACGACTCTTCGCGACCCCATGGACCAGCTCCCGCCAGGCCCTCCTGTCTTCTGCCATCCTCTGAAGTTGGCTCAATTTCATGTTCGTTGCATCGATGACACTGTCTAACCATCTCATCCTTTGCCGTCCCCGTCTTCTTTGACCTTCAATACTAATACTTCAGAGTATTAGCAAAGGATTAAACCAGTGGTGGGCAAACTCATTAGTCAAGAGAGCCAAATATCAACAGTACAACTATTGTAATTTATTTTGAGAGCCAAATTTTTTAAACTTAAACTATATAGGTAGGTACATTGTTATTAACTTAATTAGGGTACTCCTAAACTGGCCTTTGCTAAAAATGTCCTCAATCTGATTGAGGTACGTTCGCTGAGGTCGACCCCTTCCAACTCTCCCATCCACACTCGTCTTGTATACTTGTTTCCTCTCCTTTCGTTCATCCTCTCTATATGTCCAAAGTATCCATAAAATTAAATCATGACAAAATAAATCATGACAAACACTAATGTGAACAATGGCCTTGCATCTCCT